GTGTGTGTGTGTGTGTGTGTGTGTGTGTGTGTGTGCTGTGCATTAGCATTTTGTTTTGAACGTTGCGACTTATACAATTCGCAAATACAATTTCCCGCAAATGTTGAGCCCGGTATACCAACACACCTTTACTTAACTTAAAAAAATTCAATATACGCAATATTACAGAGGGTCCCTACAACCCGCAATAAGCTTCACATCCCAAAATATCAAGTACGGCTCCTCTCGGTTGCACTGCTTCTTCTCGTGACGATTTTTATGTGAGCCTGGCGCAACATTGTCGCCACTAATGCAATAATCATGCCTCACTGGTCCATTCCAAATCATGTGGCTGGTGCTTGCCCGCTCGATCGTACCGCACAATTACGATCACAGTACATACTTACACGTGAATTTTACTTCTACTTGCGACATCTGTTTTATGCCGTACAATTGCTACCCCAGTTCGTCCATCTGTCATTCCTCATTTTTGTCATACAAGCGATTTCCATATTTCAATTTTTAATACGTTTCTTCCAGATCTACCTCAGCCATGTCCTGGATTTCAACAGAATGCAAAAGAAAACTCACGAACCTCGTTCCTGGATCCGACATGGAATGACCAGAATATCGATATGTAGCAAACTCAAGCATCAGTGGCCCTTTGCCGGCGTTGCAGTATTCCTTTGCCCACCTGATTGTTTCCCGCACAGCCAAAACATCCATACCATCAGCCTGAAAATACAAATGTGATCAGCTTTACAGCTGTTGCATGTTACGAATCAATAACCTAGCTACAGAAATGGAAAATTGATAAGTGCTTCTGGAAAGAGTACGATAAATTTTTACTTTTTTTCAAAAAGTCAATGAAATTTGGATTTGCTGTAATGAATTTTTTGCAAAACTTGTTATTTTTCGCATGTAATTTACTATAGGTTTTTATAAAGCCTAAACCAAACTGGGTTTCTACAAAATAACACTCTAATTTTCATGTTTTACATAAAAATTTTTTCAATGGATTTTTGAATATTATTTTGCGATTTTTTTAAAACTTATTCGTAATTGCCAAGAAGTACTAAACTCTCTTTACTAATGCGCTTACTCCAAGATTTCCCAAAAGTCCATACTCTACTAATCGAAAAAGTTTGTTTGCTTATGCATTCCTTTAGCTTTTATCCTTCCCTCCGTTCCCTCCCCTTTCTATACTCGTTCTTCAGCGATCCACGAGCCCCGTTTCCCCCCCCCCCC